ATATATATTATAAAATCTGATTTTTTTTTTGTGAACACCTTTTTATTTCTGGTGACTAGAGAGCAAAGTAAAAGAAAAAACATTTTAAGGATTCCGAGGCATTTTGTTTAAAATCAGCCTATGCATATATACAAAAGATACAATAAATATGTAGATAAATCCAACTTCCTTCAGTTAGATATGTCATTAACAGTGTGTGTAGCATAAAACTAAGCAATAGAGAGTTCCACAGAAACAACATTCAACAGTGATAGCTTACAGCCATGTCTGTCTATCACACACACCCCCCCCCCCAGAAGATCACAGAAGATCTATACAATCAGCACAGTTTCAAGGTGGACACCCAAGACCAATTCAGTATCTGACCAAATGTCTCCCCTTCTGTTCCAGAGATATGATGTTGAATAACGGCCACAAAAGTATTTTTGCAGAACACAGTGAGGTTGAACTATGACCTTTAGGATATAAAATGTCACCACTTCATCATTATATACTATTAGACATTTCTGTGACATTTGTTTGTCATAATTAGCATAATGATCTTGAGTTATGGCCAAAACCATGTTTTATGAGGTCACAGTGACCTTGACCTTTAAACACCAACTTCTCATCAGTTCATTGTTGAGTTCAAGAGGATGTCTGTGCCAAATTTGAGAAAACTCTCTCAAGGCCCTCTAGACATATTGTGTTCACGATATTGAGATGAATGTAAGGTCACAGTGACTTTTGACCATCAAATTCTACTCAGTTATAGCTGAGTCCAAGTGGATGCTTGTGCCAAATTTGAACAAATACCCTCAAGGTGTTCTTAAAATACTGTGTTTATGAGAATGTGTCGAATGGGGTCACAGTGACCTTGACCTCTGAACACCAAACTCTAATCAGTACATTGCTACCGCCCAACTGTACATTTGTGCCAAATTTTGAAAAAATAGCTTTAAGGTGTTCTTGAGATATCGCATTCACAAGTATGAGACAGATGAGGTCACAGTGACTTTGACTTTTGATCTATGACCACCAAAATCTAAGCAGTTTATACTTGATGTGCAAGTTGACGTTTGTGCCAGATTTGAAGAAAATCTCTCAAGGCATTCTTGAGATAGGACGTTCACAAGAATGGGATGGACGGACAACCTGAAACACAATGCCTCTGACCATGGCTATAACTGGTGTGGAGGCATTCAAATTATGGAGAACCTAAGGGTGCTCCTGGAAATAGTCAGGAAGACTTTTAAGGATCTGTGGGAAAGATGACACATTTATGGGTTTTTAAATGGTTCTTTTGAAAAAACTTTCTCCCACAAGTCTCACAACCAAATGCCTTCTCTCCTGTGTGTAGTCTAACATGTCTTTTAAGATGTCCTTTGTCATTAAAACACCTCCCACAGATTGAGCAACTGAACGGTTTCTCTGCTGAGTGGCGTTTCTCATGTCTTCTCAGATGTGCTTGATGACCAAACTTTTTTCCACACAGTGAGCAGCTAAAGGGTTTCTCCTCTGCATGACTCCTGGTGTGAACAATCCACACTCCTCTCCTGTGAAAACACTTGTTACACACTGAGCAGCAGTAGGGTTTCTCTCCTGTGTGGGTTCTTATGTGTTCAATCAATGATCGCCGCTGGTTAAATCCTTTTTTACACACTGAGCAGCTGAAGGGCTTACCGTCAATGTGAATTTTCATGTGAGACAGTAATGTTCGCTTGTGAGTAAATGTTTTACCACATACTGGACAAATAAAGGATTCCAGGTCCATGTGCACAGTCATGTGACTGTATATACTTCTCTTGGAACAAAGTATTTTACCACACACAATGCAAGTGATATTTTTCACACTTTGAGAACTGGTATTTTTTAAAGCATTTATATGAGACTGAGCTTCTCTGGTCTCACTGCAAATGTCATCACTGTCATCAGTCTCAGCCTCAGAGGAGACTGAGGTGTTGTCACCACAAGCTGAATCTACATTTCTGGTTGCTTCTGATCCTCCACAGTCCTCTCCATCAGCTGCTGTTGTCATCTGGTCATCGGTTTGTCTGTGATGAAGCTGTGAGGACTGTGCTTTGCCTTCATCATCTTCTGTCTTCACAGAGACAGCAGTGAATGGGAGCTTGATATCATCTTCCTCTAGTCGTTGAAGCTGCTCTCCCTCCTGACTGCTCCACACTTCCTCCTGTTCCTTTTTAATGTGTAGGGGCTCTGGGTCCTGCGACCCACAGAGAACCTCATCTTTACACACCAACAGATGCTGGACATCTACAGGGAAGACAGAAATACAGACATTAGAAAAAATGTGACTTTCTCCCCTGTAGGTAGATTTTAGATTTGATGGGCTATTTTTCATTAATGGCTGATTACAGTGGCATGCAAAAGTTTGGGCACCCCTGGACAAAATTTACTGTGAATACTTAAGCAAGTAAAAGATGACCTGATCTTTAAAAGGCACAAAATTAGAGACGACACAATTCTTCAGTATTTGAAGCAAGATTTTTTTGTGAAGTTTTAGAGTCCTCACATCCCTTGCGGAGATCGGCGGGGGGGAGCGGCTAGCACATGTAATGGCTGACGGCGCCCCAGACTAACATCCAAGAACACAAAATTGAATCCACAGAGTATCTCCATACCGTTCATCCGTGCTCTGTGTTCACGTGTGCGCGCTCAGGGTGATTGGTGATGCACGGTCTCTGAAGAGCAGCAGTCTCGTCAGTACTGATGTCCAGATTCTCAAGTGCAGGCATCGCCAATTCCCAGTCTGAGCAGCAAAGACTTGTGGTTTCAATTTTGTGTTCTTGGATGTTAGTCTGGGGCGCCGTCAGCCATTAGGTGTGCTAGCCGCTCCCCCTGCCGATTTCCTCAAGGGATGTGAGGACTCTAAAACTTCACCAGGGCCTCCATCGGCATATGGGTGAGTAGATAATGGCTGAATTTTCATTTTTGGGTGCACTATCCCTTTAATAGTGCCCCCTTTGGTGAGTATCACAGCTTCTAAACACTTTTTGTAACCAGCTAAGAGTCTTTCAGTTCTTGTTTGGAGGATTTTCAGCTATTTTTCCTGCAAAAGGCTTCTAGCTCTGTGAGATTCTTGGGCCGTCTTGCATGCACTGTTCTTTTGAGGTCTATACAGATGGTGCTGGAATTTAACTGAATCCATTATTCCCTCTACCTGAGAAATGTTCCCTGTGCCACTGGCTGCAACACAAGCCCAAAGCATGATCGATCCACCCCTGTGTTTAACAGTTGGACAGTTGTTCTCTTCATGAAATTCTTCACCCTTTTTTCCTCCAAACATGCCTTTGCTCATTGCATCCAAAACATTATATTTTAACTTCATCAGTCCACAGGACTTGTTTCCAAAAAGCATCACGGTTGTTTAGATGTTCCTTTGCAAACTTCTGATGCTGAATTTTGTGGTGAGGACACAGGAAAGGTTTTCTTCTGATGATGTTATACTGCTAGCAAATATCATTACTTCTTGTCTAAAATGCCAAAATACTAAATAAATCCTAAAAAAGCCATTAAAACTTAAAATTGATTGGTTCCATAAAAATACATAAGAAATTTTGAGTATTGGGTCATTTTGGTACCAGTGATGAAGGTTGTTCCTTTTATTAAAAGACACAATTTTTGTTGCCAAGCTTCGTGTCTACATAAAGCCAGCACATTTGAAAGTTCTTCAGACACAAAAATGGCTAAAACAAGGAACCTAACGCAGGAAACACGCCTGAAGATAAAGATTCTCAGCCAGGAAGGGTACAGCTGCCGCCAGATAGCCAGGAAGTGCAGATGCAGTCCTTCAGCAGTTGGATACACTCTGCAGAAATACAGACGAACCAACAGCTTGGAAGACAAACCAAGATCTGGGCGTCCAAGGGTTTCTTCAGCAAGAAATGACCGCATCCTGATCCGCATGTGCAGGCAAAACCGCCGAATGACATCACAGGAGCTTCAGCAGCAGTGGTCAAACCAAACTGGTGTCCAGTGTTCCACCCGCACTGTACGTGGCCGACTTTTAGATCATGGCTTAAGGTCCTACAAGGCTATCAAGAAGCCCCTGATCAATGAGAGACAGAGGTTAGCCCGGCGTCGTTGGGCCCAGGCACACAAGAACTGGACAGCCAGGAATTGGAAGAAGATTTTGTGGTCAGATGAGTCCAGTTTCCAGCTTTATCTTCCTCCTACTAATGTGAGGGTATGCAGAAGGCCAGGCGAAGCATTATCTCCAGCATGTACAGTACCTACTGTCAAGCATGGTGGAGGCAGTATCATGGTTTGGGGATGCATGAGTGCTGCTGGTGTTGGTCATCTCACTGTCTGTGATGGCACATTGAACTCTACCAAGTACTGTACCATTCTCGAAACCCACATGCTCCCTTCTGCGCGTGCACTGTTCCGTCGAGGTAAAAACTGGATGTTTCAACAAGATAATGCCCCTTGCCACACATCCAAGGCCAGTAGAACTTGGCTGCAGGAGCACAGTTTCTGTCCTTTAAGTGTGTTTTTTTTATTTTTTTTTTTTTATTTGCCAATCTCACTTGTTCGCGTTCAACAACGGATGTGCAACTGCTGAGATTTGTTTTATGCCTTTTATTCACTTCTGGACTGTTTAAAGTGACTTCTGGAGAGCCATTCAGCCACGGCTCAATTGTTTAATACTTGTACTCGTGTACTCCCCAACGAGAGACCGGAGATCCCCAAGGAGTTAAGGAGAAGGAGACGGGATGCAGAGCTGGAGTCAATTGTCGGGAGTGGAAAAGACAGTACAAACCAACTATACTGTCCGTTATTATGGGGAATGTGAGATCTCTCCCTAATAAGATGGAAGAGCTCATGGCGCTGACCAGAATGCAGAGGGAGTACCCGGAGTGTAGCATGATGTGCTTCACGGAGACCTGGCTGAACAAACTCACTCCAGACTCACACGTAACTCTCAACGGATTTCAGGTGTCATGGTGTCACCCGGGGCACATCAGTGTTAACCCTATGGGCCCTAGGCGTTTTTGGGGTATTTTTACTGCCTTTACTTTTAAGCTCATATCACAGTCATTATAAAGGCTACATACACATGCTATATCTTGTTTTTTTCAGGTCAATCAGGGCTATCCAGATTTGCCATCATTCCATGTCCTTGTATGTGCCTGTATTTTATATTAATTTTTATATCAATGAAAAAAACAAATCCGTGTGACTAAATTCTTACATTTTTACATGTATCTCACCATAGCAAGTTGGAAGAAGACATATTCTGCCATATATGAAGAGGGGAGACTCTCTGGAATCTGGCATTATAAGAACCATGATGGTGGGACATTCTGTCACCTCACAGTTGTCCAAAACATGTGGTTTGTGCCAGGCGGAAAATGATTGCCAGTATTTTTTCATTATTGCAAGAAATTCCATTGACTCATTCACAAGTCAAAAATGTGTTTTATCTGAAAGAAACATGCAATATTTACATCTAACATAATAGAAAAATAGTCAACCAAGTGCAATGATGTCCTCCAAGATAATATTTGCCACTTTGTTTGCAGTAAACAAAGTCTGTTGTTGTTTTTCAGTTTCAGTTATATATTGGGGGGGCATTGTATATGGTGGCTATGGCCCTGTCATGCATGCATAATTAGGCTGCAGTTGTCTGGGTGCGCAAAGGTGAAGTGGCTAGTCTTGTCATACAAAGTTTGATGGAGTGTCAACTGGACAATATGGAGATATTTGCATCTTGAAAGCCGGATCTGCATTCGCGAGTAATCCATCCAAGAGTAATGTGTGTGCAAAGCTGTATGAAAGCTCAGTTATTCATCATTTTAGTGTAAACTTATCATTTTTTTCCGCTATGAAAACATTGGACTACCGACAAGTGCTTGGTCTTGTCGAAAAGCTACAATTTCGCTGTTTCACGTGATATGCGTGGCTTCTCGCTATGATGCACGGTCGCAGAGAAAATCAATAGAGAAGAACAGGTGTGAATTTGGACGCACAATGCGTCGTTTGGGCCCATAGGGTTAAAGAGCGGTGCTGCACCAGGGACATAGAGCTGCTAGCGGTTAGCATTTGGCCGTACTACCTCCCGAGGGACTTATCACAAGTCATCGGTGTACATGCCGCCGTCAGCTGATGCTGCAGCAGCCTGTGAGCTCCTACACACTGTTGTGTCTCAGCTCCAAACATAGCACCCCCAGTCCCTCATCCTCATCTCTGGCAACTTTAATCATGCTTCCCTGTCCTCCACCCTCCCCACTTTCACACAGTATGTGGACTGCCACACCAGGGACTGCAGAACATTGGACTTGCTGTATGAAAACCTCAAGAATGCATTCAGCTCATCCCCCTCCCCCTACTGGGCCGCTCAGACCACAACCTGGTCCATCTGTCCCCTGCTTATATATCCGTGGTGAGCAGACAAACCCCCACCATTAGGTATGTGAGGAAATGGTCTGAGGAGACCAGCATGGCACTGATGGACTGTTTTGGAACAACTGACTGGGGAGTGCTGTGCAGTCATGGGGAGGACATTGACAGTCTGACTGCATCACAGACTACATAAACTTCTGCAGGGAGAACACCAACCAACACCAACTCCAACAACAAGCCGTGGGTGACCCCTGATCTGAAAGTGCTTCTGATCACCACAACCACAACCACACTGCGGCCAGACATCATTCTGTGGTCCACCTCAGCCCGAAGAGTGGTAATGGTAGAGCTCACTGTTCCATGGGAAGGAGAGATGCAGGCAGCCTTCGAGAGGAAGAAGGACAAATACACGGAGCTGGCAGAGAAGCAGGGTGGTCAGCCACCATCCACCCTGTTGAAGTCGGCTGCAAAGGTTTCACTGGAACATCTGTCCAGCGCCTCTTCAAGAGTGTGGGAGTGGCCCATCCAGGGCTGAAGAAAGCCCTCAAGGAGCTGGCAGATGAGGCAGAGCAAGGCAGCTTCTGGCTTTGGATAAGAAGGAAGGATAAGGCGTGGGGAAGGCAAGAGTCCTAGGGTCAGCTGCAGGGGACGGTAGGGAGACGTCCCTATCCGTTGCTCCACCACTATGAGATGTTCCGGGATTAATGGAGTGAAACATCAATGAAGGGTGGCTCCTGGCTGAAGACTCTGCAGCTGACCCATTGGCACCATCGGAGGTGCCACAGGCAGCGATGCCCAGTAGGTAGCCCATTACCTGTGCTTACACCTGAACGAGAAGAAGAGGACTTTTAGATCAGGGGACAAAGAAGAGCTGAAGAGGGTCCAGAGGGACCTTAAGAGAGAATTAAAGAGGGGCAAGGACAGCTACAGGAGGAAGTTGGAGTAGCACCTTCAACACAACAACATAAGAGAGGTGTGGAGAGGCCTGAACACAATCTCTGTCTGTGATGTGATTGGATCCAAATCCACGTACTTCCGTACTTCCTTGACCAACAGCTGATTAGCTTTGCCTTACACCCGCCTACACTGGAATTGCTGTTCCCCGAATTGTTGTCCATAGTACAACAGAAAAGGAAGTGTTCAGTGCATCGCAAGAAGAGATTAAAATGGATATAATTTCATTTGATTCAGCTATATTGCAGAGCTGCAACGTCCACAAGATTGGAGAAATTAAGGATTTACAGCGACTCTGTCTAAAATTCCTTACGCAGGAGAAGAGAGATGTTTTGGCCTGTTTACCGACGGGATACAGTAAAAGTTTGATTTATCAAGCCTGGCCCACTGTAAGCTGTACCTATGGCAACGCTGTCATGTGGTTTGGATATCCCTGCCCATTTCTATTACAAAATGAAAGACGAATGTCCCCAGACTACCATTCCGAAATAAGGGAGGCTGGTCACGTGAGACTACACCATAGATATCATACACAGTAGATACCTCGTTGACGGCTTTGGCCCGTTTCAGCGATGTGTCAACGTCGCTGCCATCTTGGGGAGGTCACGGCCGGCTGGCTAGTACTGTTGTGTATGGAGATAAGTCTTCAGCGTGCTCACTCAAAAGTCTCAAAGTGTAATTGGGTGCCGGTCCAAAAAATTACAGCAAAGCAGAAAAACCTGACAGCACTCACTAATAAGTATAATACTTTTTAATATAGTGGATTGCACAACGGCAGTCAAATGGACGCGTTTCAGCTCATAGCCGATCTCAGCGTTAAATGGTTTGTGGGCGTGTGTCCCTTTTAACAGAAACCAGCTGGTTCAGATTAACATTAAAAACAATACAAATACGGATCATTCATAAATGCAACCTCAATGATACACCGAATAGTCTAAATATAATTAAAAAAATGGAATAATAGAAAATCTTGAAGCACAAAATACAATACAATATCGACCTGTGTCACTGTGTCGAACTGAATGGGATTAGAATACAGTAGAAGAGCCTGAGAACAAGTATGATCAGTGGGTACCAACCTGCTCTGTGTAACCGAACTTCAGGCTTTAACACAGCGTCCAGCAGTTTACGCTGACGGTCGATGTCTTCATTTGAGCGAGAAAGTTTCTTCTCATACTCCGTTACTGTTCTTTCAAACAGCTCAACTATCTGTTCAACAGCTGCAGTAAGATGCTGCTTCACCAACAGTCCATCAGCTGTCTGCATCTTCTTTAACTTCAGTCTCGTAAACTGAAGCTGTGGTCCACTCTCCACAGAGACAGCATTGACCGGGAACCCAGTGACATCATCTTCCTCCAGTCCTTGAAGCTGCCCTCCCTCCTGACTGCTCCACACTTCCTCCTGTTCCTCTTTAATGTGATGGAGCTCTGAGTCCTGCTGCTCAGAGAGAACCTCTTCTTTACACACCAACACCTGCTGGACGACTAACATCAGATAGAGAGAATAATGTTTAACTTAAACGTGTAAAAGAGCTATACTTACAGCATTTATCTACACACACACACACACACACACACACACACACACAGGCATAACAGCAAAGCTCTTCTCAAGCCTTTGCCAATCACAGGTTGGTATCTCACACAGGTCACTATGATAGCTTCTAAAACACAGAATCCTCTGGGAGTGAGACATTCACTGAACTTTTGGAAAACTCAATAACTACCATAACAGACTTTTTGCTGTTGCTGAACACATTCTTAACAGTAACAGAATCCATTCCCATAAAATCACATCACCCTGTCCGTTACACTATCCATCAATCTGTGCATACCTCCTATTATAAAGAAAGCCACATCAATCAGTGAAATCTGAGCAAAATCAAACCGCCAACAAGTAGCCTGACACTGAACACAATATAGCCTAGCGGGGGCCACCTAACGTCAGCCTGCTGCTGTCATAAGTCAGTCACCGTCCAATCCTTTTCATCTAGTGATTGCACATCATGGACATCAGAAAGTTTTTCAAGAAAACACCATCTGTCGTGTCGTTAGCAGCCGATGATCTGCCCAACACTATTTCAGGTTGGTGGCTGATTTAAAAGCTGACTTTTTTGGCCTGGCCTGCCCTGGCTCACCACGGTGACTCAAAACCACTGCCCTCGCGTAGGCTAACAAACTGCAAACAAGCTGACAACAAGGCTATAGGCTAGCGTAAGTTGTCATAAGATCTTATGAAATATCGCTTGACGTGAAATTGAAACCTCATCTAGCAACATTAGATACTTATTATACCAATTTTGGTTATAATGTCAGAGAAGTCAGCATTATAATCCATTTTCTAGCATAGACATCTTTGTCTTACTGTATTGATGTTGCAAATAGTCTACAAAAGCATGACATTACCTGACATTATGTCCACCAAAGATTTTAGAAAAGTAACTTAACTTATTAAAATAAAATATCCTTGGTTGACATGCTGTTTTAACTCAGATTTTATTTAAGTAGAATAGAAAGGTTACATTTGCTACGTTCTCATTACAAGTTTGTCTGCTTCCATCCTATACATACCATCTGAAGGTTAGCGTCGTAGCAAGTGGCTTGCATCACGTTCTGTAAGCCCCTGTTCCACAGCTGATTAAACTTTGACCCCTTTCTTTCTGTCACTCAACCACATCCAACATAAAGATGCAAACAAAGTATTAACAACGCATTGGTTAGCAATATGTTTGCATTGTGTGTTGATCTAATAGGCTGCTTTCAACATTATTATTTTCCATAATTCAACCTAGTCCATTGTGCACAATTACAGGTTGAATGAAGGCAGAATGTTTTCCACCTATCCACTGAAGCTGATATTTGGTATTAGATGTTAGATAAGATATTATATTATATTATATTATATTATAAACAATGCACTGCATTAACTTTGACACAGATGAGTCAGGGGAAGTCCCTGACTCATCAAGGGGCAGCAGGTTGATTATACAGTAACTTGAATCCAGTCTCATATTTTAAGTCTAAATTTTGCCATTATAATTCCCTTAAAAGTCGACTGAAGCCACCATTTAAGGGGCTGTTTTTCAAAATTGTCTCCCAGGGGAACATGCTCCAGGATCACCCTAGTTAGACCGGGCTTAAGCCCTGGATGTCTACAATGTCTGGCATCGCCCCTGATCTTGGCAACTACCGAGAGGAAGACCAAAAAAACTAATTCTTGTGTCCCCGAAATCAAGGTGCTTATGGGTGAGGTGGAGGTTAGAATGCGCACATTGTTTTGTGGCCAGTGGGGTTAGTTAGCGTACATAAATGGTTGAGGTAAAAATGACTCAATATATTCACGCTTATGATCAGGAAATGGAAAGCCAGACATTTCTGAATCCTGTCACTTGCCACAGTCTGGGATCATCCAGCTGCGCACCGTGCTTGCCACAGCTGACCACACGTGTCAGCAGCATACAGTCCGAGTCCGACCCTCATCTTTGGGAATGTGATGGTGAGACAGCGCTCATGAAATATTGAGCAGTATTTGATTTGAGATTTGAGTTGACATATATTTTACTATCAAAAGGTGCTTATGGAAAAGCTATGGGTCACTGGCACAAACACACTGCTGCATCACATCTGTTATTGTGGGACTAAATGCCTGCTACATACCTGTACCGTCTTCCAGCAGTCTGCACAGGCGACCAATCTCTTGTTCATACTCTGTTATGGTTGTTTCAAACAGTCCAAGTACCTGTTCGACAGCTGCAGTCAGCTGCTGCTTCACCAACACTCTCACACTTTGGACTTTACACATTTTTCACACCATGAACGGCTTTGTGCTCCTTTACGGCTTCACGAGTAAACACAACAATTAAAATATAGTCCGGTCTGTTTACTGTCAGCAAGCTAACTGTAGCAACGGCTAACTTTGTAGGCTAACGCCATTGAGTCCAGATGCTACACTATTAAGAAAAATGGAGGACAGGTTGGATTTATTTATACTTGTTAATTCCTGCTGTAGGCTTTATCAGATAGCTTTCAACGAAAGAACGAAAGTCACGATAAAAACTTCTAAAGCCTCACACTCCTCCCACTTCTTCGTCTTCTTCTTCTTCTTCTTCTTCTTCTTCTTCCTCCTCCTCTTGTGGGAATCACAAATCAACTGTAAAGGTGCATACCGCCACCTACTGTGTAGGACTGGGTGGGCTCATGGAATTAATGTATCTGAACAGACTGTGCGTTCCAGTACCCATACTATGGTACACACCAGGAAAAGATTTAGTATGTCGCAATCAGTTACCGCCAAAAAAAATTCAGTAACGAGTATTGTAATGCACTACTGTCCCTAAATGCAGTAATCACATTACAGTAACTAATCAAACACTTAAGTCGTTACTTGCTCTACATAAATGCATCATCCACTTACTTAAAAGTTAGTGACGACGGGCTTCAGGCTGTTGTCAACGGGTCGTCCTCCGTGTCCAGCCGGTCAGCGGCGAACACAGATGTGGGAACGAGCCAGAGGATGGCAGAGTTTCTGCCGCAAACAAGCACCGAAACCCGAGGACAGACATCTCACTCCGCTAGTCTGTGCTGCAACGGAGCACACACTTGCAGTTTATAATTGTAACGTCCGTTATCCTACTAAGTATTGATAACACGCTTAGTGTTTTACAAATTCGAGTTTTTTTTTATTTGATGAATGTGGCGCTGATATGCAAAAAATGAACTAAATGACAGTGGGCAAGTAATATAATCATAACACCTAAACGCAGGGTAACCACCCCCTGCCTGGCATAACAACTTCTCTAGCGGAAACCCTGCAAATACTTAAAGAGAGAAAGAGGGAAGTCTGCTTAGGGGCCTACCTTGTGAACCAGCTGTGCAATGCACATGCAACAGCATAATGGATTTCAGCAACAATTACACTGATGGGAGAAAACATATGCTTTTGTACGAGTGAGGGTGCACAGTGATTTTACAGGGTAACTAGTAATGTTATAAGTATTGTACTAATTACTACTAATTACTTTCTCCAGGGAGTAATCAAGTAAAATAAGGGATTACTTTTATTATGTAATGTGTAATACATTACTTTTTTGAGTAACGACCCCCAACACTGGTCCCAATACATAGTATGTCAAATGCAGTATGTCCAAAATACCAGGATGTTCTACTACATCCGGTTGAATTTTGCAGTATGCAAGCCAGCATGCAAAAGATATGTCACATCGACTGTCTGAAGCCACAATGATGGATGACAGCGCATTCAGGTGAATAATGACCAGTCAATTAGTAATAATTGGAATATTAATTGTCTAATTGAATAAAATAATCATAAACATAACCAGCAACAAAAAGGGCATAAATATTAAATAACAATGACAGTGAAATGTAATCTTACTATTGTGAATATATGTTAGAATCTACAATGTAGTCATTACTCATTACTTATGCAAAATAACAACATCTGAGCTGTCCCAGTTGACCTCTTTCTCTAGTGAGCTCAGTGAAAAGTTGTTGTTTTTTTTTATCTCCATGGTAATGCATTAGACTTGCACTGGTTACAATTTTTTGGGCTGATACCGATTTCCGATTTTGGCCAATTCCGATTTCATTTTTTTCAAACCACTTTACAGCACACAAGATATTGCAATATTTTCTATCTTCCTTTATTAGAACATTTTAACCAAGATACAACCAGCTTTTCAATAATCATCTCAAACAAACAAAGAAAAATAGTGACAGGTTAAGAAACATTTTCCTTTTTGCTCAAATATAACTTCAGGTACAGTATTAAAATAAACAAGTAAAAAATTCCAAACGAGAAGCCATCATGTAACCGCACCCAATGTTAACGGCACCTGTTACCTCCTTCCAGGCCTTTGATTTGCCTGTCCCTGTCACACCACCAACAGAAGACGAAGAAAATCAGATGTTTTTCTTTACCCTACTTCACCTATAATAATTTCAATCTCAGTGCCGGACAAGTTTAACTTAGCAAGCAATAATAAGCCATCAATTGGCGAAAGGGGGGCGCTATAGCAACCGATAAAATGAATAAAATTGCAAACTTTGAATGGGCATATCTCAATCAATCAATCTTATTTATAAAGCCTAATATCACAAATCACAATTTGCCTCACAGGGTTTTACAGCATACAACATCCCTCTGTCCTTAAGACCCTCGCAGTGGATAAGGAAAAACTCCCCAAAAAAAACCCTTTAATGGGGGGAAAAACGGTAGAAACCTCAGGAAGAGCAACTGAGGAGGGATCCCTATTCCAGGACGGACAGACGTGCAATAGATGTCGTACAGAACAGATCAGCATAATAAATTAACAGTAATCCATATGACACAATATATATATATATTAATATCTGACAGTATACATATGTGACAATAATCATATGTGTATAATAACAGTAGAAGTATGACTAAGCAGCAGGAGGCATCTGGCAGGACCATGGCAGCAGCACAACCACACACGTCACACTATCCAGGCACCGCTGCGATATGAGTTAACCTGAGAGACAGTGGAGCACAAAGGCTCCGGAGAAGAAGCCGAGTTAGTGACATCCAGAATGGCCGAGTTAGCAAGATGCAGTAATAGAATACGAGAGAGAGAGAGAGAGAGAGAGAGAGAAGGAGAGAAGGTGTCCGGTGTATTATAGGAGGTCCCCTGGCAGACTAGGCCTAAGTCAGCCTAACTAGGGGCTGGTACAGGGCAAGCCTGAGCCAGCCCTAACTATAAGCTTTATCAAAGAGGAAAGTCTTAAGTCTAGTCTTAAATGTGGAGACGGTGTCTGCCTCCCGGACCGTAACAGGAAGATGATTCCACAGGAGAGGAGCCTGATAGCTGAAGGCTCTGGCTCCTGATCTACTTTTGGAGACTTTAGGGACCACGAGTAACCCTGCGTTCTCAGAGCGCAGTGTTCTGGTGGGATAATATGGCACTATGAGCTCTCTAAGATATGACGGAGCTTGACCATTTAGAGCTTTATAAGTTAACAGTAGGATTTTAAATTCAATTCTGGATTTTACAGGGAGCCAGTGCAGAGAAGCTAAAACAGGAGAAATATGATCTCGTTTCTTAGTTCCTGTTAGTACACGTGCTGCTGCATTCTGAATTAGCTGGAGAGTTTTTAAGGACTTACTAGAGCTACCTGATAATAGAGAGTTACAGTAATCCAGCCTAGAGGTAACAAAAGCGTGGACCAATTTTTCTGCATCTTTTCAGGTCAGGATAGGCCTAATTTTCGCAATATTACGCAGATGAAAAAATGCAGTCCGTGAGGTTTGTTTTAAATGAGAATTAAAAGACAAATCTTGATCAAATATTACTCCAAGGTTTCTTACGGTAGTGCTAGAGGCCAGAGCAATGCCATCTAGAGAAACTATGTCATCAGATAAAGAGTCTCTGAGTTGTTTGGGGCCAAGAACAACAATTTCAGTTTCGTCTGAATTTAACATCAGGAAATTGGTGCTCATCCAGGTGTACTTGGAATTACACAGAGTACAATAGACTTCAAAACAGTTAATCGGTCTGAATGAGAAAGAAACATTACCTGAAAATAAGACTCCCTCTTTCTCTGGCAGCGTCATATATGCAATTTAGTTGTTCAAACAGAGAGCCATGCAGATTTGATAAAATGATCATTAAACGCATTAAAAATTTCCTTCTTGTCATTCACGATCCTAGAGTCCAGCCAATGGTGGGTTTTTTTGGGGGGGGGGGGGCAGCAGGGGCCAGTGCCCCCGTAACTCTGAGTGCCAGTGGGAATCCTGGGCTTGGTGAGTGTGTTTGAACTCCTATTCTTGCACAAACTGTTTAAACTCCTCACTTGGAAACTGCGGCCCATTATCTGACATTACTTGATAGCCTGTGTCTTGCAAACATGGATTTAAGACCTATTATTACATGATTTCTTGTTGTTTGGGACAGTTTGGCAATTTCAGGGTACTTTGAATAGTAATCTACACACAGAAGAAATTCACTTTGGTCAAAATAGAACAGATTCTCACCTAGTTTTGCCCATGATCTATCAGGAATGTCATGTCAACGCAGTGGTTCTTTCACGCTACTTTTCCTAAAAGCATTACAGATAGCACACTTCAAAACAAAGTTCTGAATTTGTTTTGACATGCTGGGCCAAAACAGTTCTTCTCTAGCTCTTTCTTTGCATATGACGATCCCCAGATGAGTTTCATGAATTTTCTTCAGCATCTCTGCTCTCAGTATTTGTGAGACAACGAGTCTGGAGTTTTTAAAAACAAGTCCTTCTGAGCAACTGAGTTCTTCTCTGAATGTCCAATATTTCCTTATTTCGGTTGGTACTTGGCAAATCTGCTCTGGCAACCATGACTGAACTGCTTTCATCACTAACTGCAGATCTGTATCCTCTGCAGTAGCAGTTTTGAACTGATTTTTCTTGTGAGACTGGGAGGTGTGCTGATAGATGACTCACTTCTAACTCCTCCTCATCTGTTCTTGCAGATAAGCTCTGCTGAGGGTATCTGCAATGTGCAACTCTTTTCCAGGCTTGTAGTTCACAAACAAGTCAAAAGCCTGTAACCTCATCAGCATCCTCTGGAGTCTGGGAGGTGCTTTGTGTAGTCCCTTCTTGAACACTGACTCAAGTAGTTTATGGTCAGACTCCACCTGTGCTCATTTTCCATGCAGATATTGTTTGAACTTTTCACATACACAATGGCTAGTAGTAGTAGTAGTTCTTTTTCTATTTGTGCATATCTTTTCTGTGTGTCAGTGAGAGACTTGAAGCCATATGCCACTGGTTGTGTTACCTGCATTATTACAGCTCTCACTCCTTCAGAGCTTGCATTTACAGACAATGTGACATCTTTGTTAACATTATAATACTTGAGCACTGGGGCACTGCTTATGAGTTTCTTCAGGTGTTCAAAACTCTGTTGCTGCTGTGTTTCCCAATGCCACTCAGCATCCCCTTCCAAAAGCTTTATGAGTGGTGCACTCACATCAGACAGGTTTGGGATGAACTTTGAGAGGTATTGCACCATGCCTGCTTTGTCATGGTTGTGGCATGTCCTTAATTGCTCTGACCTTTTCTTGGTCTGGTTTCAGGTCCTCTG